GAGCTTTTTTGAAAAAACAATGTTAACAAGTAAATTGCTTGCAGACAGATGAAGCAATAGGACAGACAAAAGGCAACCATGATAGGTCACACGTGACCTCATCTCAGGGGACGTTAAAATCTGTGTTAAGGATACCCATCAAATTTACAACACAAAACCTATCAACGATAGTCAGTCAACTTTAGAAAGCTTATTCTCATGTGTATGCTTGGTGTTTTAAACTTTGTAAATAACTACATACTGTAACTGATCTGCCAATAATCATGTACACAGACTATCCTAGGGAGTTGTACAGCAGGTATTTTCCAGTTTATTTCGTTTATTTCACATTCAGTTTGTCATGATTACACACACATCAAAAACTGTATATACGTCATGAATTATCAGATTTGATAATCATCATGTCATACTAATATGGATTCAATAATGACATATTCTATCGGGGAAATAGCCACTATAATAAGGATATGGTGTTTGTACGGATACTAATGGGTTGGAAATGCATTGCTCTGCATGAAAATCAATTAAGGGTTTAAAATGTTATATCAAATGTAGATTTTTTCTCAAAATTTGCACACCAGGTCATTTTGAAGTTAATGTGAACTGTTTCAACATAGACATCAATAAAAACATAATTGGGAAGGATAGTCTCCCATTAGCCTATCTTAGATTAATATTTCATATCGGCCAATCAGAATCAATATCACTGCTTCATAATTACACAGGGGAGACGGCTATGCAAATTATTAAATATTGTCGGTCAAAGATGACTAAACAGGCATTTAGTATTTACTTTGAAGACATGGTCTTGGCGCATATTAATCAATATTTCCTGAAAATATCCAGGCTTAGCTGTGGAACTAAATGAATTATTAGGACATCATATTGACACAGGATGAGTCAATACGTATGTTGTTTTCAGTCGTAACCAATAGAAGGCAGGATTATGACAAACATAACCGTGCCTGCTTCATATTGTTTATACCCAGCATGTCATTCATATTGAACGAACCCAGAGCTAAGCAATTTTTTACAATAACAGTTACTTACTTGACAACGAAAATCTGCGACTGAACTTCTAACAAGTGTTAACTACGACATCTTCATTACTTTTGACTGTTCGTAATAACAGACTTGAGTGATAGATTGATACAGATATAGGCTGTTTGTTTTGTAGGAAGTGTATTTATTAATGTTAGGCAGAGCCATGTTCCGCGTATCTTACATCATGTTCATGGTAGTCTGTCTACATACCGTCAGTGCTAATACGATGGACGACGTGAAAACATTGCTGGCGGACCTGATGGGGAACTATTCGGTGGAGATTCGACCTGTAAAGGACCAGAGTATGCCGGTATATGTTGATGTCGGCATGAATCTCATATCCATCAATGACTTCAATGAAGTGACCGGAGTTATTTCAGTTGTTGCCGTTATATTTCTTTCTTGGAGGGATGAAAGTCTGGTGTGGAATCCCTGGAGTTATAACAATACAACACATCTAACATTTTCACAAAAACAAATATGGGTTCCAAAAATGTACTTGGTGAACCCAGCAAGTGAGTTTAAACCCATCAGCAATAAGCATTTTAAAGTCACTGTATTAGCCAATGGTTTTGTTAATTGGGCCCCTGGAGGGGTACTTCAAGCCTCTTGTACACCTGATGTTTCTAAATTCCCATTTGATGTACAGACATGCACAATTTCACTAAATTCATATGGATACGGTACAACAAAGGTTTCTCTGACCACGCAGGTACCAACGATTAATTTAAGTCTCTTCTCAACTAACACTGCCTGGGACATCATATCAACTAAAACCATCGTAAACTCCGACGTATTCACCGATTTTGCTTCATTTTCCATCACCATGAGCAGGAGACCGTTGAACTTCATAGTCAGTGTTGTGATCCCAATCATCATGTTGGCTCTGGTCAATCCGTTTGTATTCATTCTACCGTTCAATTCCGGTGAACGAACGTCGTACAGTATCACAGTACTTCTAGCGTTCACGGTGTATATGACAGTGGTAAGTGACAGGATGCCGGCCTCATCCGATCCAATCTCCCAGTTATCGTACTATCTACTCTCAATGCTTGGTCTCAGTGTTCTTATCGTAATCATGAATATATTTCAAATCAGAACATACAGCAAAGATGACAACCAGGAGCCAGTTCCGCAGTGGATGAAGAAGTTGGTGATGAATTGCAAGAAAATTTGCCAAAGGGGCAAAGTGGAAAGCAAATTTAAACTGCAACAGGATATAAAACAAACTTCAAGCAGAAATGAACCTATCAAAAACAACATCATTCGTTTAGATTCAATCGATGAGACAGATATTGCAAACATACAAGCAACTCCAAAAGAAACCAACGTTATTCAAACTGACTCATTACAGCACGAAAACGTCACTTGGCATACTATCGCTCAATATACAGACAAAGCTTATTTTGTTGCATTTTTGGTTTTCACGGGTGTTTCATCTTTGAGATATTTTATAGAAGTTACCACATGAATTATTTCAAATGCATTACAGGTGGTATACTTTGTAATTTTTTTTTAAATTTTATGTAATAATTCATGTGATTTTTCAGAAATGTGTTGTAAGCAAAATAACTAGTCCTAAGCCTAACAGACCACCATCTGGACAGCTCTACAGGAATGTTCCTACAGTATGGCTGACAGGGCACCAATTAAACACAGAGCAGATGTATACGGTGTATAAAAAAACATAATTTAGGGAACTATAATACAGGAAAATTTCTTTTTTGACTTTTAAGCATTAAATAAAGTTTCATCAGATTGAATTTCTTCATCTTTGTTTTATGCTGAATTTTTACAATACGGGATAGAAGAAAAATGATTAACAGAACAGGAGGAAGGGTAATATGGGAAAATGTAATTATGGTAAATATAATGATCCCTCACATTATATGTGCAATTTAGTAAACTGTGATGCTTTGCTGTATTTCACCGGTACCGTTTTATTTTTATATAATCATATTATCGCCAAAAATCATGTTTGTGATGTATTTAAGAATGCATACAACTCTCTCTGTCATGTTTGTGATTTCGTTAAGAATGCATACAACTCTCTCTGTCATGTTTGTGATGTCGTTAAGAATGTATACAACTCTCTCTGTCATGTTTGTGATGTCTTTAAGAATGCATACAACTCTCTCTGTCATGTTACTGATGTCGTTAAGAATGCATACAACTCTCTCTGTCATGTTTGTGATATCTTTAAGAATGCATACAACTCTCTCTGTCATGTTTGTGATGTTGTTAAGAATGCATACAACTCTCTCTCTGTTATGTTTGTGATGTCTTTAAGAATGCATACAACTCTCTGACGTGTTTGTGATGTCATTAAGAATGCATACAACTCTCTCCATCATGTTTGTGATGTCGTTAAGAATGCATTCAACTCTCTCTGTCATGTTTGTGATGTCGTTAAGAATGTATACAACTCTCTCTGTCATGTTTGTGATGTCGTTAAAAATGCAAACAACTCTATGACGTGTTTGTGATGTCGTTAAAAATGCAAACAACTCTCTCACGTGTTTGTGTTGTCGTTAAGAATGCATACTACTCTCTCCATCATGTTTGTGAAGTCGTTAAGAATGCATTCAACTCTCTCTGTCATGTTTGTAATGTCGTTAAGAATGCATACAGCTCTCTGACGTGTTTGTGATCTCGTTAAGAATGCATACAACTCACTCTCTGTCGTGTTTGTGATGTCGTTAAGAATGCAGACAACTCTCTCTGTCATGTTTATGATGTCGTTAAGAATGTATACAACTCTCTCTGTCGTGTTTGTGATGTCGTTAAGGATGCATACAACTCTCTCTGTGATGTTTGTGATGTCGTTAATAATGTATACAACTCTCTCTGTCATGTTTGTGATGTCGTTAAGAATGCATACAACTCACTCTCTGTCGTGTTTGTGATATCATTAAGAACAAATACAACTCTTTCTGTCTTCAAGTGTCTTGTTTGTGATGTTTTTAACAACACACAAATCTCTCCGTCATGAATGTGACGTCTTTAAGATCACATACATATTTCAGTCATGTGTGTGATATCTTTAAGAATTCAAATATTCCTTTATTTTTATTTTTTCTGTCACATGTTACCAAATATCACGACTGGAAATCTCAAAAGAAGAAAGCCATTTTGGTATCCCTGTACCACTGCCAAAAATTGTAACTAAGAGATATTGGCTAAATAAGCTTTAATGATTATTTCTAAAAGGAAGACCATATTTTAGGGGACTTGTGTGAAAAATATAAAAACCATGATTAAACAAAATATATTATCAACAACAGTATTTTGAGTGTAAAACTTTAGCCAGGCCAGACTGGCATTCCAACCCTGGACTTCAGGTTGTTGTACTATCATTCTAACAGACTCAGCTATCTTGTCAACGGAAGTGCCCTAGCTGACATATAACTGTGAACTAATTACTGCATTACGAAAAACTTTGGGGTAGTCGGACAGGGATCCTTAATTTTCTCTTAGATCAACAGATCACTTTATCAAATATACACTACATACTAGGACTGTAGGATGAATACTATGTTTACTACTGTGCTAGGATAAAATGTTTAACACTCCAACATGTACACATTTTAGACACTCTTCTTTCAAAAAAGACATTTAACAAAGTAATGACTGGGGATGCTGCATGAAAACAGCTAGATTATAAAATAACGTGAATTTCAAAATATGTTTTTTTGGAAAAGTATTAAACAATATAGCTTCATTATTATGACAGCAAAAGATCATTTTTATGAATATTTTGTCCATTTGGGGTTAGAATATTTTGATATTAAAAAGATTTCTGATTCTGTAAGCAGGGTATGTCAGGTACATTTTGTAATTTCAAACAACACATTGACATAAAAACATTTTTCACCAGGTGATCTTAATCTGTGCAAGAAAATATTTCATTTAGTGAAACAAAAAACAAATTGAAATGTAAGTAAGAATAATATTACCATCCAAAAATATGTCGCTGCAGAGCTCTTCATCCAGCCAAAATATGGAAGCAATAGGACCTATGGAGAGGACAGGTTTAATTAATGACATCACTCAAATTTAAAATCCACCTCAAGTTTTCAAAACATTAAAACATGTCAGTAGTTACTCTGCTACTTTGATTATACATTTCACAAACTGCATCTCTTTTATTTTCATTAAAAAAAAAAAAATCCGGACAATGATGTATTGTCCTGAAAATATGTTTTTTAATGAAAATATGGATGAAAAATTCCTTAAAAATACATAGCAAGAGGCCCATGGGCCTAAACGGTCACTTGAGTCCTACAGTGTTTATTTTTGTTGTTGAAATATGTACCAATTTGAGTAAATAATTATTAAGTATAACGTTAACTCAAGTTTGTCAGGACCATGAGCTGATCATTCCTAGACCGATTTTCAGTTAGATTGGCCTATAGAACTTGTTTTTAAAGCTCAGGTGACCAAAAAAGTTAATTGTTACAATTTGCTTTTGTTTTGCAATGATTTGTTATTGTCACTTTACTTAACATCATATTTCAGCTAATATCTCTGGATGGTTTTTTTAGCATATTTTTTCTCCAAAAATATGATGTATGTACTATAATTTGTCATGTAGAAACACACATATGTTCTGAAGAGCTTTTATTATGATGCCTCAAAGGGAGCAAATGTTTCCTTCTAATTATTGCACAAAAAATCACAAAAAAACACAAATAATCACTGTAAATAACCCCCTTTTTTCACGCCTCTGCGATTCCGTTTTTGCGTATTGCAGAGTTATCTTCTCTTGGGAGCAGATATTGATTGTTACGTCATTGGCTTGTGTGAGAAATTTACGTCGTTTTCTCAAAAATTGATGACGTTACTCTCAAAAACAAGTGACATAACAATCAATACCTGCCCCCAAGAGAAGATAACTCTGCAATACGCAAAGACGGAATAGGACCCCCGAGGGCATAAACATCAGCATTGATGGAGCCCCCGTAAAATAAAGCAATTGGTGGGATAACAGCTAATTATATAACCCTGATGGTTTCCAGCAAGTAATTTCTTGTTTACATTGTGGCTGTATCTTTAGTAGAGGTGAGAACTGCATCTCATTTTACTATCCCAATAGTTTTCAAGTTTTATTCGAACTTTAGGCCCTTGGCCCATCAGTATACAATGCATATTACACAAATCATGGACGATGTACAAAGAATGAAGACAATCAAATTCCAATATAATACCCTTCATTTGTTTGTTTCCCTCATAGATGACTTTTCCTAGTACATGTATACACAATTCTTTAATATTATGGACACTCAATAACTGAACGACTTTAAACAGAGATGGTACAATATAGTACTGCGATAGTTGTTTCACTCTCCCGACAGTATTGGTTTAAACAATATTTCATTTACAAATATGCAGTACATAATGTAAATATTATACAGAATGTAATGTTAGCGATCTGGCAACAAGAGTAGGCTCTTATATTAAGCCATCTCCCACCAGTATTGTGATAGTATTCCGATAGTTGTTTCACTTTACTATTGTATTGCGAAAGTTGTTTACTATCATAAAAGTATTATGATAACTGTTTTACTATCAATATAGTAGTGTGATATGTAGTTTATATAAATATTGCAATAGTTTTTGAAATCTGATTTTGTATCATTAACTGATTTGAAAGAAATTTGTCATTTTCATGTCATTTTCATATGTCATTCCAGGTGGTGTTTTGTCATCTTCAGTGTCTTGTATTCTTGGAGTTATAAATTTGAATTCATTAATAAAAGAAAAACATATTAAAATAATTTTGTTAATTTCTTTGAAACAATCAAATAAAAGAAAAGACACAGTCAAGTACACATATTCCTATGTAAGTCTTTAAACACCGTTTTGAAAGAAGAGATTTGTAGTGAAAATAATATAGAAAATACTTCTAATATGGACTAGTATTACTCCACCTGCTAATATGAATACAGGCAACACGATGACACCAGCCATGAGCTAGAAGGCCATGCAGGTACCGGTCGTGGCTGTGATACTCTGTGATCAGCACAATGTCGGATACATAGTGATGCAGTAACAATGGAGGGGAACATACTCTGCTTACAAGGTCTATTTACGTAAAAGGGTAACGGTATACACCTCCAGTCTAATAAATTAATACTTGATTTGTACAATTAAACAAGCTTTGGCATCACCATGCCTTTTGTTATGGGAGTTTCAGAGTGCACTGTTTGCAAGTGAATCAGCTTGTCACTAAGTGTTCCGATTGAACTTCCGGGGTTTTGTTAGCAATTTCAATCTAGGTTTTCCCAGAAGATTTAGCCAGCCGTGCTTTTGAGGACAGAGTAATCAAGATGTATATCAAAAGAAAGCTTTTGTCACTATCAATACTTCAGTATTACTAGTACTGTTGCAATAGTTTTCAACTTTTGTAATCCATATCAATGTATTGATATCCTGGTGATAAACTTACAATACATTGATAGTATGATGTATTGTTACACTCCTAATAGACAGAATGTGGGACAAACAAATGCTGTCTTACGGATAATGAAGGCATCTGGAAAGAGGCTCACCCATTTTATATACTTTTTGAACGTTCTACCTACTTTTCATTTTCCGTATCATTGACATTTTAACAAAGATCCTATCCTTCAGACTTTTCAAAATGTTAAACATTTTACGTTTTTAAGTTCAACATCAGCTGTAAATTATATGTACCCACCTGGGTCCGCTAATCCTGTCGTCTCCAACAGGACATAGTCAAACTTGCCTTTCTTTGTCATCAAATTCTCAATGGCCTTCACACCATTATCTCTGTGTAAACAAAAATCATGTTATTGAACATTTTGAATGAAGGTTTATTTCACAAGAACATGTACATATAATTATAAAATATAATCAGCAACAATTTTTGAGGCTATCTTTGATCAACACAGCAAAATAATTACACCGTTTGTAATAGCATAAACCATTAAAAATATCTTTCACAGAAAATCATGATTGTGCTAATTTAATAACCAATTACCATGGCATAAATTAAAATAAATGACAGTTTTTAATAATCAAAGTCTAAAAATACTGTTAGAGTATTCTGTAGTACATAATGTACTGTACATACCTACCAGGTAATATATTTTTTCAGCTTAGTCACACCCACCCCCTCCCCCTAACCTCTCTTCCTTAAGACACACATTCAACATATTTACTTTGCTTATACACAATACACTGTATATTGATTTAAGTAAAACACATCCAACAAAAGTTTTTTGTTAGGATCCAGTAACTTACTGTACCATTCAGCTTTTATTACACATAAGTCATATATAAATATCAAACATGTACTGTATCTACCCAGTGCACTTGAATAATTGTCTGAATAGGGATGAGATAACAGTTGTAAAGGTGAACTAACTGTCAGATACATTCCAAGAAAAAATCAAAACTGCTCTCTTTCTCATTATTCTTTAATACTGGAAAATAGTCTTGTCAGATTGCAAGACCGTCAGTCATCTGAGAGAAAGTGTATTATATTTTGTTAACAGGAAGGGCCAAAATGTAGGGGGTCTGACAAAGGGGAGCTCATATCATTTCAATAAGAGCCCAAGAAAAGGGAGGCAAACTTTGTACTATGAAAACAGTATACATGTATCAACATTTCAGCTGCTAGTCTGATACTTACTTGACAGAACAACACAGACATCCATTGCGGAGTTCCAGCCACTCCTCATAGAGTTCTCCCTCCTGTCCGATAGACATGGACTTCTCCACAGATTCACCTACAATTTCACAATAAATTCCACAATATTTCTCCAAAATCTCCTTCAACTAAAAGAAATCAATCACTGTGTTTATTAGGAGATTTCCTCTTATTTCATGTCCACTATACATTGTATTAGAGGGAAACATGTACTCCATTAGGAACACAGTAACACCAAAATAGTTTGAGGATTTTAAATGTGTAAATTTCTATGTTTATATCATTTTAAATATTTTTGCTCTATCAAAAATAAAACATTTCAAAAAGATTTTCATGCACATGATAAATTAACTATTTCCTGTTCATCCTCAAAAATCGATGTTTCTAGCCATCCTTTCTATAATTATACATTTTGTACATACAATGTTCCTTAAATTGTTACTTGGCACTCATTTTGTTCAATATCATTGACATTAATGATAGGGTTATCAGACTTGTTAACAGCATTATTGGCAAAAGTACATTTGTATGTTTAATTATAATCATTGTAAGTGTAGACTCTGAAACTCACTTGTTAAATTATCTCCCGTGTTTTCCACTACAATAGGTCTATTACTTGATCATTATAACTTATATTTCTAATAAAGGTCATGCTTACAGACATCTGCTTTAGAATGACATAAACAAGAAATACAGTATACGGCAAATAAAACTTCAGAACTGCAAAAATTATTCATTGGACATTCCAGAAAATCATACTGTTAATAAGACCCCAGGATATTGGACCAAATACCAGGTTTTAATCTGACAATAGACTAAACTGCAGTTAATAAGACCATAAACCAGATCACAGGAAATCAGACAAAGGAACAGGTTCAAGAAATGAATGTGCATACAAACTTTATTTATTTTACAACCATTATATAACAAGTTCTAGCAACTTATATTAATCCCTCTTGTTGGCCTGGATGTTAAATCGTGGCGGGTCTTAGGAGTACCCGGAGAAAACCCCTGTGGTCTGACAGGCAGGGACCCCATAACCTCTCACATCCAATTGGGGATTACAATTTTTACTTCATATTTTTTCTTTAAGAAAATATTACCTTCACCAAATTCATTCATAATGACAGCAATCTTCTTTCCATGTTGTTCAGATAAAACGTAGTTTAGAAGAGTTGTTTTCCCTGCACCTGAAATAACAAAGCTATATATAAGAACATGTATTGCATGTTTAGTTACAAGCTTAATCTCATGAAACAACTTCAGTTAACCCAGGGTACTATGAAAAACGTTATCTGAACAGAGCGGTCTCTGAAAATTTGTTTTACATATAATTACAGATTTATCAAAAGTTAATTTCATCAGATAAATCCTTTTTAATGGGGTGATTTACAAAAAAATATTAATAATAAAAAAAAAAAAGTTAACACATACTGTATAAGAAATATCAACGATCCATTTATTTCATTCCACAGTACCTTCAGGTACAGCAGAGCTTGTATGAATTGAGTGCGTGGCCCCCCTGAGAGGGGTGGGGCTCAGTTAAAGGAAATAACAGTACTTTTGTTTTCTTGCCTACCTAAGAATCCGGTGATCACTGTTATTGGTACCCGTTTGACCTCTGCTGGCACGAGGTCAGGCATCTCATCCTCATCGTCGGACATATTTATATCAACTGTAATTAACAAGAAATTGTATCAGCTCAGCAGACAAAACATGAGGACATACAGGCTTTGTACTCGCTTTCCCTCTCTGCACACTTGGAATATGTCATAACGAAATTGAAGGCTTAGTGTGCACTACTATGTGGATGAGACAAGGAGACCCCCTTTCATGTACATCAAAAGAATCTTGCGGTTGCACAATTGTAAAATTGACTAGCTTTGAAGTCGGATGTCACTCCTCTGTAATCTTTAGAGGTCATGTATCAGCCTCGGGATTGGTCAGGTGTTTTTTTACCTGAGACCAATCAAATAGCTAGCCTCGTGATGAGCTTAACTTTTGCGTTGACATATTCCAGGGGTGCAGAGGGCAAAAGTGAGCATTACCCCTGGAGTATGGGAGATGGCTTAAACTATGTACCAGGTTGTTTTTTTCAGCACTTTGTCAAAGAATACATTTCAAAAATTCATCAAATACTTAAAGGCTCCTTGGTTTACAATCGTTCAAAATTTTCCACCTGAGCGGACGCCATTTTTGAAGGTCAGGGAATGTCTAATCAACGAGTCCTACTGATCCGGACCGAGAACAGAAAATATCATTCTTGTTTAGAATATTTCTGGACCGCCTCTTTTTGTTGATTAGCCACTACTCTGAAATACAAAAATGGCATCCGCTCAGGTGGGAAATTTTGAACGATTGTAAACCGTTGACTCTACTGACGGAATTGAGCAGCTATTGGTGATAATAAGAGCAGATTTGAATCCATAAATAATCCACTTATCGATATGGGTGTATGTGTTGTGTCATAGTCAATTTTTGTTGTCAGCACCTCAAAACTCTACACACGTTTTCATATAGCAGTGCGCTCTGGCCCCACACCAGACATATCTATCTGTCAAAATGTCAAAGTCTGGTGTCAGGGCCAGAGAATACTCGGGCTAACTTTAACTTTATGTTGTTTCCGACATACAAGTTTCTGGAAAAAAGTCACAGGATTTAAGTGTTCAAGTGGTACATTATGGGGACACACATTCTTCCGGTGTTCCTCTCAAACAAGGGTCGTTTTGGTATAAAAGGTTCAACCGGTCGGACCACAGTTGTTCGTTTATTAAATAATGTTGAACCCAGTAATCTTAGGCTAGCCTTGACATTAAGCCTTTTAGGGTCTGCATAAACATTTGCAGGTCTGTCAGTATAACCAAAATTGTTACATTTAAAAGCAGACATACCGGTTGTTCCGCATAAACGAACATACCGGTTGTTCCGCATAAACGAACAGGCCCAGGCCTAGGGTTAGCTGACAATCACATACTTCTACTTATAAATGGTAATGACCAAAACAAGTTGAAGATAATGTCATGAGGGAGAAAGAGATTTGGTCGATTCCAAGAAAGCCAATATAATATATACATGTACATCAAATTTAATTTGTGTTTTCTGACCTGGGTTCTGCAGTGTGGTATTTGGAAGGATTGGTGATGGGCATGCCTTGATTGCCTGGTTGCTGGTATAAGTCTAGTGTGTTTCATACATGAGTATTTCATCCCACTTTTTATTTAATCAGTATTGTTCTACTTTCTTTCAACTTTTACAAGAGACGTAATATATAAGCCAAAATGAAGGTAATACCCGGTTTCTTTGGAAGGTAAAAAGAATGAAAACATTGATACATTTGTACCGCGAAATAGAACCTCCCGCAAATGACATTGTATCAGTCTGCAGCGATTGTGGCAGACTGGTGCAGTGTTTCTGTAGAAAAACGATATCTCATTACATAACGCACCCCCAACACTCAAATCAATACCAGGCTGCATTTCAGTGTATAATTAAACTAGAAATCAATCTCACCTGTCAGTTTCACGTGGTTTTGTTGATTTGACAATCCGGAGAAAACGAGAGAGTCAACAAAGGGGAATAACTCGATTCGAAGATTAAATAAAGGACTCACTGTATTCAGCGCAACATTTCACGACGGAGTGTGGACAGACAATGAGAGCTTTAATTAGTTACAGAGACATCAAGCTTGCTTCTTGATTATTAGAAACTTGAACGCATACGGGATATGAAAAAACTAATTGTTTGCTGAGGTTTGGTTTCATTTTGTTTAACTTCCTATTAATAGCTAAGGTCATTTAAGGACGTGCGTCCATGTGAAGTGTATCGTACGCGCATGTTTGCGTGTGTGTATGTTCAATGTGGTGGTATACGCATATAAACATTGTATGAAGGGGAGACCAGGGCCGAGAAAATCTAAATCTGGCCATCCCAAATATTTTGAATTGACGGAACGTAAAGTTACGGCCCATGAAAAATGATGCGGAAAAATCTTTTTTTCTAAAGTTCCTTTTTTTATTTTCATGTTTGTGTTGCAATTGTAGAGTTCTTACCTTGTGATATAACAGACAACACAAGGTAAGAACACTGCAATTGCAACACAAACATGAACATAACAGCTACACTAATATCACTTTCACTTCTTGCCACAACCAAGTCGAACACATTCCACAAACATAGAACACATATACACAACAACACACTCGGCTTCGACGAAAACAGACTCGCCCAACACGAAGAACACGACGCACCACTCACACTATTCCCAGCAATATCCACACGTCTCAAACACAAACACATTAAACCAAGCAACTCTTACATCTTTATCCTCCTACTCGCAATATCATCAGACACTGAACTAAGCCCAGGGCCCAGAGCATGCGGAACATGCAACAAAACCGTCACATGGCAAACAAATGCTATATGCTGCGACACATGCGATACATGGTACCACACCAACTGCCAAGGCATGAAAACATCCTTCATGTATACTATACTGACATATCATGGGAGTGCATACAATGTGGCATGCCAAATTTTTCATCAACACTTTTCGATACCACATCAATACACTCCACAAACATATTTTCAGAACTAGATTCGATAAATTCCATAGACGACCCCACAAGCCCAGGCCCTCCAACAGCCACTTCCTCTCTCATAAAAAAACAACACACAACAACTCAACACAAACTCGACAATCCAATACGCATCACAACAATTAACTTCCAATCCATATCCAACAAAAAGCCAGACCTAGAAGAAATAATCCACGCAATCAAACCAGACATCATCATAGGTACGGAGACATGGCTAAATAGCACAACTTCATCATACGAATACTTTCCAATAACACAGTACACAGTATATAGAAAAGACCGCACACCAAACGCAAAAGGACAAAGCCACGGTGGAGTACTACTCGCTATCACAAACAAATACATCTCGCAACAACTTCCAGAATTAGAAACAGATAACGAATCCATTTGGGCCAACATCAAAATGTCAAACTCACATAACTTCATAGTAGATGCATACTACAGACTACCATCAGACAAAGGACATTCACTCACATAACTCGAAATATCCCTGAACAGAATAGGAACACAGAACAACACAATAACATTTATTAGCGGAGACTTCAACCTCCCACACATAGATTGGTCAAACAACACCACAACACCAGGCAAACCAGACACAACCCTATATCAACGCCTTCTAGACATCATCGACGATAACTACATCACCCAAACCATAGACAAACCCACAAGAGGAGAACACATCCTTGACCTAACACTCACAAATCGTACATCCATCATCAATAAACAAGAAATAGTCCCACCGATAGGCAAGGCAGATCACGACATCATATATACAGAAGCAGAGATTAGACTACAAAAATACGCCAACCACCTAGGAACATTAACCTACTATATAACAAAGAAAACTGGGACAACATCAGAAAATTCCTCACTAATCTAAATAACAACTTTCAGGACCTAGAACATCAAAACACAGAAGACCTTTTGGTAAGTTTCAAAACAACACTCCATACATCTACAGAAAAAAACATTCCAATAAATCACTAACATACAAACACAGACTGCCTGTTGTGTTTGTGAAGGTCCTTTATCGTAAAGATACAACTCACAACAACACACGACTGCTAGGTTATTTAATGGCGGTTCACAACATACAAATACAGAGCATGCGCAAGGCATAAATCGGAACCATGCGGTCCGACACTACTTACAGGATAATAATCCGGATACATGTTAACCTTGGACATGAACATAACACTTTTCTCCCCCTAAGCAAAGGTTTCCTTTAAACAATTATAAGGATTAGAATGTAGCTTCCCTGGCTCACTGTTCATTAATATCATTGATATTTAAAACTAAAGTTATTGTCCCTTGGTACATTGTCCATACATTTTCAATTACCATAATTTGTCAAAATCATCTTACTGGTAACTTATACTATACCTAGTCTTAAACACTATTAATTTTAACAGTTTTTTGAACTCATAACTCATTTAACAGTTCTCAATGAGACGCGAAGGTTTCATAACTTCACGACGCGGATACCTATCGCTTGTAGCGATGGTTACAGGGTCTGCGCGCGTAATTGGCACACTCGAAGTCTGTGGTGTACTAGCGACCTCACTGGGTTTAGTCTTTGGACTAGATGGTGATGACACCCTCTCAGTTCCCACGAACGGAATCGGTGGAAATACTGGGAGACAGTCTGGATAATGATGCATGTCAGAAACTATTTGTTCTGGAGTTGCCATGTTACAGTTTACATCACAAGCACGCATCTGATCAACATGTCTCTTCCATGTTAGGTTGTCCACCTGGATGGTGTATGTAAGGGGTCCTAGTTTGCGAAGCACAATGCCTTTGCTCCATGTAGGTTTCCTCGGGTTTCCGCGATAGTCTCGGGTAATCACAATGTCACCGACTTCAAAATAACGAGTCTTTGACACTGTAGGGGTAGTCTTTTGTTGTATATTCCCCGACAGATCTGGACGCATGACATCAAGTCTGGTTCTTAACTTTCTGCCTAGGAATAGTTCACTGGGGATAGTCTTGGTAAGACTATGGGGTGTGGTACGATAGGACAAAAGAAACGAAGCAAGTTTCTGGTTCAGTGTACCACCTTCCCAAGCCATTGATTTCATAGCTTGCTTAAAAGTACGCACTGCTCTCTCTGCCTCACCATTTGAACTTGGGTGATATGTTGCAGAAAGAATATGACGCACGCCGTTTTCCTTGAGAAATGTGGTAAACTCGGCCGCGGTGAACTGAGGACCATTATCGGAAACCAGTTCTTTTGGTAAACCATAAGACGCGAACAAATACCTCAAGGCGTTGATGGAACTTGTCGTAGTTGTCGAAGACATACGTATTACGTCAAGCCACTTCGAATGCGCGTCAGCTACGATCATGTACATTTCATCCATAAATGGACCGGCGAAGTCGATATGGATACGACTCCATGGCGCTGAAGGCCATCTCCCAGGGTTTGCAGGAGACTTGGGCGCATTAGGAAGTACTTTCCGACATGCTTCACAGGCTGACACTTTACGCTCAATGTCAACATCCATGTTTGGCCACCACGCGTGTAACCGAGCCAGAGATTTCATTCTCACGATTCCTGGGTGGTTGCTATGCAACTCGTCTAAGATATCCGTCTGATATCGTTCGGGTATGATCACGCGTATACCTCGGAGTAAACATCCTTCCTCGATGGTCAACTCCTCTCTTATCCGGTGATACGGTTGTAGATCATCCTTGGAATGGACATTTGGCCATCCACTTCTGGTAAATTCCATCACACGAGACCGAATTGGATCGGCTTTGGTCGCCGCTGCGATACGCGAAGCGGTAACGGTTAAGTTGTTAACCTGCATTTTGTTAACTAACTCAGCTTCCTCATAGAAAACATAGTCGTCACGGTTGCTACTTATATCCTCTTTCAATGGAAAGCGCGATAACGCGTCAGCATTTCCGCTTTTGTCGGTCGTTCGAAACTTAATGTCAAACTGGTACGCGGACAGCTGGATTGCCCATCGCTGTAACCGTGATGCTGCAAAAACCGGAATGCCTTTCTTTGGCCCCAAGATCGTTGTCAGAGGCTTGTGATCTGTTAAAAGCGTAAAACGCCGTCCATAGAGGTACTGGTGAAACTTTTGAATTCCAAAAATAATAGCCAACGCGTCTTTCTCTATCTGAGAATAATTCTATTCGGCCGACGTCAAGGTACTGGACGCGTACGCGATCGGTTTGTCGCTCGACTCGATGGTATGTGAAATTTACCGCTCCGAGCCCGTAGGCTGAGGCGTCTACAGCCAGCATTAACGGTTTCTGTGAATCATAGTGGACCATGACCTCAGACGATACTAAGAGTTTTTTGATAGTGTCACAAGCACTAGCACACGCCGGGGTCCACTGCCATTCTACATCGTTTGCTAACAAATGAGTCAGAGGCTCTGCGACTGTAGCCATGTTCGGATGGACATGCGGTAATAATTGACAATACCGAGCCACGATTGAAGCTCACGCTTGGTTTGGGGATCAACCATTTTCAAAATGGCTTCCACCTTCCTCGGTGAAGGATGGATACCGTCCTTGTTGACCTTAAACGCGAAATATTCTACTTCGTCGCGCATGAAGAAACACTTGGTTTTCTTTAGTCGGATACCGAAATCCTCTAGTCGCTGAAGCGTTGTGTCGAGATTGTGACGGTGTTCGGCGTCAGATTTTCCCGTGATTAGAATATCATCTAATATGCATCTGACACCTTCAATACCTTGCAGGACCTGGTCCATAGTGCGTTGAAATATGGCGGGAGCAGCCGCTACGCCAAACGGAAGACGCGTGTACCGATACAAGCCGCGGTGCGTGGTGATGGTAACTAACTTCCGTGACTCCTCATCCAACAACACTTGTTGGTCAGATTCAGTTCTGATCACCACCATTCAACTTTGCGAACAACTCCTCGCTGGTCGGTAACGGGTATTCTGGAACATCCAAGTAGGGATTAATAGTGACTTTATAGTCTCCACATATCCTCACAGAACCATCAGGTTTTAACACTGGTACACTGGGAGTGGCCCAAACTCTCCACCTTTTCGAGAATTCCAGCCTTTTCAAGTCGGTCAAGTTCTTCGCCGATCTTGTCTTTGAGAGCGAAAGGCACGTACCTTGGTTCGAAGAACTTAGGGATAGCATCCTCCTTTAATCGGAGGCTAGCAGTTACTCCCTTCACAGTACCCAACTCTTCATTGAACACTTTGTACTTCTGGAAGAGTTTCTCTTGTGAATGTCCATTGATGGTGTAGTTGATAGATTGCCAGTTAAGTTTAACTTCCTCAACCAGTTTCTACCAAGCAATGCTGGTCCATCAGCCTTGACCACGAGTAACGGCAATGACACCTGTTGGTCTCCATACTGTAGCATCACAGACATCTCCCCGACAACTCGTAAAAGTTGACCTGTGTATGTCCTCAGAGCTGTTGACGTGTCGTTCAGTTTCACAGAACCCTAATACTTCTGACGATACTCCTTTTCCGATATTAAAGAAACCGAAGCCCCGGTGTCCAACTCCATTTTCTGTGATGGCGGTCAATTATCAAATCAATGTTTATTTCCTTCTGACCGTCATATTTTATCGAAAACAGAGGCCAAGAGTACTTACAGTCAGTTTCATAGGCACCAGAACTATCCACATCGGAATCTTCCACGAAGTTGATTTTCGGATTTTTTCTTTCTTAAACTTTGAGTACTTTCAGTACTTTGATGTGGTCGCAGTTTGTTTACATGTTGACGTGATTTGTTTGCCGGACACATTTTGCTCAGATGACCGTTTTCGTGACATTTGTGGCACTTGCTGTTCTTATAATAACAACTGTCACCACTATGATTGTTCTTTCCACAACGAAAGCATTGTGTAAACACTTTGTGTGTCTGTTCCGCGTTCTTATTCCCCTCGAACATTGCAGAAGTTTCTTTTAGTTTGCGCGATTCACAGTCTGCCATCTCCATACTAACGGCAATGTCCATTGCTTTTTTCAATGTCAATTCAGCTTCCGATAGCAATTTCCTTTGGGTTGCCGTGAAAGCCAACCCACACACAAATCTATCCCGCAAGGCATCGTTCAAAAACGCTTCAAAATTACAATGTTCACTGAGTTTACGGAGTTCGGCTAGAAATTGACTCACCGTTTATCCTTTCTTTTGTTTGCGTTGATAAAACTTGAACCGTTCCGCTATCACCAGGGGTTTGGGTTGCAGATGATTTCGAATGTTATTTTTCAGCTCATCGTACGTTTTTTCACCGGGTTTTGCCGGACTCACAACGTTACGAATTAACCCATACGTTTTACTGCCACATACGGTCAGTAATATTGAACGTTTTACATCGTTATCATCCACCGCATTAGCCACAATGTAGTGTTCCAAACGTTCAATGCACTCGTCCCAATTTTGCGAGTTTACATCAAATTCTTCGATGCTTCCGTGTCTTACAGCCATACCTTACAGTTTTTCTGTTACAAGTGTTGTTCCGATGTAAGTTTACGTCAATCCTCGTCGCCACTGTTGTGTTTGTGAAGGTCCTTTATCGTAAAGATACAACTCACAACAACACACGACTTCTAGGTTATTTAATGGCGGTATCCACACATACAAAACAGTAAAAGCTGAAGTACAAAAACAAACCCGCCATGCATACCTACAATACATTGAGAGGATGATTACAGACCTACCAATAGACGAACCTGAAGACCCCAGCACAAGGAACAAATACAACCCTAAACAAGAGACCCATGGGCCTTAACGGTCACCTGAGTCCTACAATATTTATTTTTGCTGTTCAATTATGTACCAACTTGAGTAAAAAAAAAAAATATATAACGTCAACTTAAGTTTGTCAGGACCATGAGCTGATCATTCCTAGACCGATTTTCAGTTAGATCGGCCTATTAGAACTTGTTTGAAAAAGATATTTTCAAAATAGCGGCCATGGCAGCCAAATGGTATTTCTTATCGACCCGAAAAATAGTTTGAAATAGTTTTTCAAAATGGCGTCCGTGGCGGCCATATTGGATTTCTGATGCACCAGAAAAATAACAAACTTTGTCAGGACCATGAGTCGATCATTCCTACAAAGTTTCAGTTCAATCGGCCTAGCAGAACTTGACTTAAAGTTTGAAATATTTTTTCAAAATGGCGGCCGTGGCGGCCATATTGGATTTCTGATTGACCCGAAAAATAACAACCGTTGTCAGGACCATGAGTTGATCATTCCTACCAAGTTTCAGTTCAATCGGCCTTGCAGAACTTGACTTTAAGTTTGAAATAGTTTTTCAAAATGGCGGCCATATTGGATTTCTGATCGACCCGATAAATAACAACACTTGGTCAGGGAAATGTCAGTAACCTTCCCATGAAATATTAATGAAATCCCGTTGCCAGTATTTCAGCTTAAGTTGCGAAACACAGCTCATTACATTCATACAAGACCTCGCACAGAACCACAACAACAACAAACAAACAGACATTATCATTATGGATTTTGCCAAAGCCTTCGACAAAGTCCCACACAAACATGGATAACAGACTTCCTATTACAACGCACCCAAACAGTAGTACTTGAGGGAAAACACTCCGACAAAATCATATAATAAAAACCCTAGACTTTATTTTCGTTGAAATATACGAATTTATTTTGGGACATTTTCGACCCTGGCCATCTGGAAAATCGTGATAATGGCGAGAAAATCTAACGTTGTATGGTTTATGACGTCATAATTAAGTTGATTCCCAAGGCGGGGCAAATCTTCCGACAAAAAACTAAAGGGAGTGCAAGGACTGAAACTCTGCGCGGAGATTGTCCATAGGCCATATCCCGGACCGACCCGATATCCGCCTTGCAAGTAACAAATCCGTTTAACTTCCGCTCGTCAACTTTTCAGAAAAAATCACGTTTCAATCACCATCAGACATGCAGTGATGAAAACAAGCAGGTAGTGTTCACAATGCATACCTATCTCCCTTTATTATGCCGTTTGCTGTATTTGATAGTATATCTACCTTTCTACCGAATACATTCAGTAGATGACAGTATATGAAAGGTTTCCGTATGACCATGTCCATATCCTACAGCGTTGGTTTATCTTAAAAGTGTTGAACTGGATATGGCGCGTGCCGGGCGGTATGGCGTGTGCCGGGCCGACATTGGTTTGTCCAGGACATGGCCTATGTACAGTTAGCCGCGGGAGTTTATGATAACTATTATCATTTCCATATTTTACAAAATGAAAACAATTTGGCAACACGTATACAACCACATCCCTGCTACAACAGACAGACAGAAGAAAAAATTCACGGTTATCGGCACACGGTACGAGTTACCTCCCGTTGAACGATCAACACTGGTTTCAGCACGGACTTATCATAAAATCATAAAAAATGTTCTATAATGATAAATTTTTAAAGGAAAGGAAATTGAAAACAAAATATCTTAAAATATGAATATTGTTTATCAGAAATAAGTCAGCTGTAGACCCTATATCTAACGGTTACATTGCTTAAGAAAGAAAGAAAATATAAAAAGTATATAACTTAACGGTAACTTGACACACAAACGTAGTAAATGACAAAATGTGGTATGTTTTTGTTGCGATTATCAATTTCTTTAATACACTGTCGTCTGAAGATACATGTTAAGACATATCACAGGTACACAGTTATACTTTCTGATTACTCCTAAAATTAAAAGAACTCTTCATCTGAATCTGTTGTGCGCTTTTTGAAACATATTATCATATAATAAGATTCAAGACCATTTTTGACATCGACGCATCCACACATGACAATCTTTTGCTTGTCACGGTGCCGGTTCCATAAAGCTATATCGGGCAGGAATATTTCATTGCTGATATCCTATTTTAAAAGCAACTCGCCCATTCCGAACCGAGACTTCTCCTTCAGTATGACGGCTTATGCAGGACATAAACTGACATGGGACCTTACCCCAGAAAGAATAGAAACACAGGCCAAAAGTCTTATCGAGAAATCGAAAGCTGTCTACGACACTGTTGGTTCATTGAACAAAGATAGTGTTACGTATGACAACGTTGTAAAGGTAATACTTTCTCCAACAGTGTGAGAGGTTTACACGGCGATATACTTTTGACAAAAATCATATCCAGATAGAAAAAAGGCCGACCAGCGGACTCTTGCGTTCAAAGGTGTTTGAAATTCTGACTGTAAATTGAGATCAAAGTCATATAAAAAATAATGGTATTACTATTTTTTTATTGTAATACCCTTATATTTTTTTTATATAATTGTTATCTCAATTTACAGTTATAATTTCAAACACCTATGTTACGTACAACTTACGTTATAGGAGTAAGGTAAAAACTGTGTCCTTGGCAGTTTCAGTATCATTTATTTTTTTAGTAACATAATTCTATTCCAACAAAGTCGTACCTGTCACTGTTTAATATGTACCACTTATATTATACTTCTGTATTTCTGCGTGCATAGTTTATTTTTTTTATAAGGTGTAAGGTACTTTAGGCCTTCCTATTATGCTTCAATAGCATTGGATGAGAAGTTTCTGAGGCTGTAAGGGTAAATTGACGAATAAATAAATTAGAGCAAAATTAAACAGAAAAACGTGCTTCACGTTGTGTATACTCATTGTTTCGCCCTTTATATTTATCTGGACAGTCAGTTTGCCTTCTCTCTAACACCACATTAAATCTATAAAAAGCTGTTACTATAAATGTATTGTTTTCTATATAAATGGAAATACAATTTTACCGATCAATTATCTAATATGATACATACATATCCTGTTCTGTGCTATCTGAACCGTTACCAGATTGCTTTTCTTATTTTTGCTTTTATTTTTCTTCTATTTTTAAAGGACCCCATTGGAAATAAGCCACTTTGTGGCTTTTATGGGTAATCCTAGGTAAATGGCACTCACCACTCCTATTATGCGACCTATTTATATCTACCTTCATTTACTAAAAATAGTCTGTCTCATTTTATAGTATTATCAGCCTTTTTTTTTTAGATTTTTAAACTCTTTAGTTTGTGATATATGTCAAAGATTGAATTAAGAAATCTTTTATTATGATAGATCTATTATCATTCTCAGTCCTAATACAATTTTTTTTTTTTGATTTACAAGCTGCATTGTGATCTTAATTATAAGTTTTATTCTAAGTTGTGATATCTTGTAATAACATGCCTATTTTACCTGAATAAATATTATTATTATTAACCCTTGCCTAGTTTCTGTGCCCGTCTACTTAAAGCACACACTTCTGTGACACCATTGTGGTAAAAAAGTACAGAAATGCATGGGGGAAATGGCCACAAAATTATTTAAGTAGTTGTATTGTTTACATTTCTGAATGACAACCAAATGTTTTGCATAGTGTGGCAGTTTTTCATTGTACACAGGATTACGGTCGCCTTCTAGCTTCAAGCTAGAGGGAATTTCCCTTTAGCTCGGTGGTAGAGCGTCTGACTAAGGGATCACAGGTTCGACCCCTGGGGGAAGCACCTTTCACTCTTTCCTGTTACACATAGGATATACTTACATTTAATTTGTTAAGAACAATTAAGGGAATTCAAAGAAATGCATAAGGATATCGAAGCAGAGGACATGATGCATGACAGTTGCATGGTTTTGTTAAGCAGATTGTACATATAAGAGTGGCATATGAATTATTTCAAAACTAAGTGTTTACTATCACTCCCTAAAACCCATGATGTCAAAATACCTGTTGTATGTGTGCAGCGATCAGGGTACAGAAACAGGCACAGAAAACAAACAGGACCTCAGATTATGTAATTGAAGTTTTTGATGATTCTGTCGGTTCATTCTGAATATACACAGTACATTAAAAAATACATAAACTAACTCTTTCTTATTAAAAGTGTTAATCTACTACTATAACATGTTAAATGCATGCAAGTTAAACTACTATTTTAACATGCTAACTGCTAAGGCATTAAATATGAACAAATTTGTGTTTTATGACAGGTTAAATGTTTTCATGCTAAAGAAATGAATACATTAGTTTATCTGGTTTTTGAACTCATAGTCTTTCATACATTATCTACAATATATGACATGTTGATGGTGACAGGTCAATGTTGTGCATGTTCCACCATGATATCACTCCTTTTGGTAGATGCTTTTAATTTTCTTATGTTAAATGTTAATGGTTTTTGTCCAACTATTTTTTCTGTTGTCTTACAGTCCTTAGCAGACAATGACTGTGAGTATGCTGTGCTGAGGAACAATCTAGACTTCATGCAACATGTATCTCCTAACAAGGAGCTCCGTGATGCCAGTGTCGCCGCGGATAAAAAACTCTCAGACTTTGATGTTGAGATGAGGTACCACAAATTAAACAGTTCTTACATATGGGTTACATGGGGTTTTATACAGGAACATAAAGGTTCCCCGATGAGTGACGGTTGTTTATCATGTTTAGCTTGAGTAAGTTAATTTTCAAATTATATAATGACACAAGATTTACATAGTGTCATTTACAATGTAAATAAAAAATGTTGACCAACTCCTAGCAGGTTTATCCGATGAGTTTAGGTGGGGAAACCTGTAATGTTTGTGTGAGAATATTTTTTCTCCAAATTGGACTTGAGAAGAAAATGTGTTCAAAAATGTTTGTTTCTGATTGTCACTGCCCAAAGTTACAGTAAAGTTCTCAGTTTTTCCAAAGTTTCTTCTGGTTAAATATACCTGAAGGTATTCATGTTCAATGATAAAACTACTTTTTGTAGATTATATTTTTTGAACCATACAAATTGTGAAGTACTTGCTCTACAGGAACTGTCATTGAAATGTGTTTTTTAAGTTTCATGTGCTTATATGGCATGGAGTTATATCTCTCTATGATAAAATATATGTGCATGTCCCCTTGCAGCAATTTACTTTGTCTAAGACGTATCTCACATGTAAATACAGCAAACCATGTTTATAATTCCCAGTTATCCTTTTAGAAATTGCATAATGGTTCACCATATGGCAAAATTTGTTATATATAGTGTGATGTTCAATAACAAAATTCCTTAAGAGTGGACATAACTCTAAAACTGTCTTAAGAATGAATTTGTAGTAGTGTGTTTTCATAGTTTTGTTTAAATGTTCAAATCTTAGAAAATTTGTAATGTGGCTATACAACAATTATTTCAAATGCATTGTTGAATATCTCTTATGGGAAATGGTTAGAATCTCTTGTCAAATGCCCCTGTAATTATAAATGCACTGAAAGGCACATTCCTCCAAATTGGAAGAGTTTATGTTTCACCTCTTTTGAATTTTAAGCGGTTAACTAAATCATTTTTGTTTCCAGCATGAGGAAGGATGTTTTTGATTCAATTGTTGACTTTCAAGAAAAGCTATCAGATGGATTGACACCAGAGGCTGCACGATTTGTGGAAAGGATGATAAAGCATGGAAAAAGGAATGGTAAGCCTTGTATTGTTGACAATAAATACATGTAGCTACCCAGATACATATACTACACATGTTATTTATCAACATTTTATCTTGAATAAGTGTTTTTTAAGTTCTGCTTTCAAAGTCAGAAAATGATGTGATGCCATGGCCATTGAGGTTTCCAGATCATACAAATTATTGAAATACTCATTTTGTTTTCAAGGAATGACATATTTTGTAGTTTCTAGAATCCTTCCGTTACACCTGTGATATTTTCCCTTGGCATGTAGATTATCTTTTACACAAAATAATGTTGTACATGTAGCATAATAATCATATCAAGGTTTTTACAAACCAAGGTTTAAGTATAATTGTATGTTTTGTTTATTAGCAATTTTGTTTTTCAGGACTTCACTTACCAAAAGAAACTCAGGATAAAATCAAAAAAATTAAGAAGAGGATGAGCGAACTTTCTATAGACTTCAGCAAAAACTGCAATGAAGAAAACACTGTTTTGGAATTTACAGAAGAAGAATTAGGTAAAGGAAACATTGTTTTCATTACAATGTGTTCAATTATTTCCCCAGTTACCAGTGGATTGTTCATACTTTAAGTGTATACGTGTTTCATTTTCTACATCGTAAATAAACGTTTCTTTGTAAACTCTTTTTAAAGATATCCTTTCTCTATGTTCATTCTTTGTTTAAGATAAATATATTTTGCAATACACTTGTTATAGAAGGATTCAAAAATAGTTTTTATTTTTTTAGCTGGCGTAACAGAAGATTTTGTGAAGAGTTTAGATAAGGTATGTATTGTTCAGGGTCTCCTAAATCAATAGTGAATTGAGACAGAATTTCCGTTAGTATCTATTAAAAACAATAAAGAGCTTTGTAGCATCATTTTGTGGAAATTTGTTCAGACCCATCAGTTTGGTTATATATGTACCAACTATTTATGTGAATTTTAGTTTCTGTACACGTCATATACACTACAGCAAAACATAATTTACTACTTAAAAACATATTGTCTCTTCTCACTCAATTTACTTAAGTCATATCTGTACTCATTTTCCTGGTGAGGAATGTTTTACTACCTCTGCTTATGAAAGATACACATGTCCCATGTGGAACCTGTATTATAACATCACAATAAGATTGCGGCATCTTTTATGACGTCACAATCGAAAATGTGTTTAAACCTTATTTGTCTGCACTGTGGAAATCTTGCAGTCAGCAAATGATACCACCTCAAGAACATAAGAATGGTGGTACAAGCTTGCCCTGAACGTCTTGCTTTGATCTTTAAGTTTGAAGTATACCTTTGGTGTACGGCATTTTTTTCTGCTCTTTCCAAATGTTGCCTTAGTTTGTTTATATGTTACACAGAAATTTGGCTATATTTCATGTTGCATTTGCATGGTCTATGTCCTGTTTTATCAAAATTCCGGTATTAAAAGAGGTAGGAGAAAAAGAACCAGTCATAATGTAGGTATGCAGGGTATGAATATTCTACCCGAGGGTGTAGAACTAGAGTCGGAACCCAAGGCTTTACCTTTCAGCAAGGCCTCAGTTCTCACCCACATTCTACACCCTTGGGTAGAATATATTCATATCCCACATACCTACTCTGGTATTATTATTTTTTCAAACTTTGCATATTTACTAATTTCTTAACATATTTTACTGTCTATTTACTGATATACATTGTTGACTTCAGACTGATGATGGAAAACTGAAGGTGACATTAAAATACCCTCATTACTTCCCCTGTATGAAAAAAGCAAGGAATCCAGCTACAAGAGAAAAAATGGAAATAGCATTTAATTCCAGGTAAGTACAATATTTTTACATTGAGTTGTTTTATTTTCCATGTCTTTCCAGAATATGTTGACATTATTTTTCTTCATTGCATCATCTCGTGAATGCATTGGTTCTATGTTAACAATGAATTTGAGGATGGGCCGTAAAAAAGTTGTTTGCCTCACTGATCTGCCAATTTGTTCTTCAGTCTATCTACCAAAGACTTTGTTTTAATATAAAGGCATGTAATGATTTGTTAAAAACTATGGGTCCCCACATGTTAAGTTGCAGTATCTCCAGAAATCTACGAGTCCTATCAAATATGAAAAGACATAAGACTTGCCTTTAGATTTATCACTGATGTGACTTGTGTATTATAGCTTTTATATACATGTGATGTGTTAATCTTTAATTTTTGTTTATGTGTAATAAAATAACCCGAAAAGAATGAATTCTTGTTTATCAAAAAATTACTGTTCATATTGCTTCTCTAAACTAAGAACCAGCAAGAATGATTAACAAATTGACATTAATAAATGTTCATAATTCCATCTCATCTCAGTTTTATATTTCATCAATGAAGAACCACCAGTGAGTTTTAGCTTTGTAAGGTTGAACATTGTATACATACACATATGTAGCACACTACAGCTGCTACTGCCGCCGCTGTATAAGTGTAATATTTTTGTAACAGTGTATTCCACTTAACGTCATGTTTCTTGTCACATTTAGAATAATATCATATGGTCTTTAAAAACAGTTTTCCTCTTCCGTATGATTATTTGTTAAGGTTTTAACCTAAAAACAAAATGGTGATTTTTTTTCTCTCAAATTGTTGTTTGTTTAAGACCAAACATGTTGAAGCAAAGTCTTCATTGAACTAGCTTTGTTCTTTTCTGACAAGGTGGAAATAGTAGTATTTAAAATCAGATCTCTGTAAAATGGTGCGGATGCATGTAACATGCGCATGTATGTAAATTCACCTTCACCTGATGTTCAGAGCAGTCCTCTTTAACAGAAACAGGATGTACATCACATGTAAATGTCAAATTTGGCTTCCTATCACTCTTTCCTCTGAAAAAATGATATATTAGCATAGCTGTCAACCCTCCATCTTTAGGAGGGAGACTCCTTCGTTTTGACCAAAATTTACCAATCTCCCTCGAAACTCCCTAATTCAAGTCTGAACTCACAAACCCTCAAAATCTACATCTTGTGGTTAAATTATCTCCTAATTACTGCAGGGTGTGTGTTATGATCATAACATTTGTATTTGAATCAAATGAATACTCTTTGGAGTTATTTTGATATAAAAAGGGAGAGATAAATTGAGCAAAGCAGTTCAAGTCGCGTTTCACAAACTTTCTCCCTCATTTGAAATGTGGAATGAGTGAGATCTCCCTCATCGGAGGTTTCAAGGGTTGACACCTACTTGGTAGCAAAGGCCAGGTAGGTATTTAATGTTCTTAGAAAAGCCTTTATAGCTATAGTAATGTAACATAGACTTGTAATGTGGTGAAATATTGATACTTTTCAGATGCAAAAAAGAAAATACGTCAATTTTAGAAGAACTTGTACACCTACGGCATGAGGTAAATCCTTCTATACTTTCATAGTGAGAAACAAAATGTAGTTAGCAGCAACAAGGTTGTTTGTAAGCTCTTATCCAGTAAGGATATAGGCTATTCATTAGCTCTTATATTTACCTGAAAATAATATTAGTGTTACTGTTATCAAGATGATGTATACATTTTCCTGTGAAAAATCTTTCATGTATTACTGAATTATCTCTGCAATAAAGAATGTTTTTATGAGGTGTTTGATAATGCAATAAATTTGCATACAGCTTGTATATCAAACTCTTTCACAATGTTTAATTCAATTTTATATATTTCGAGTTTAACCAGCACATTCTTAATTCTAACTCTGGGTGCCTCGGTAGCCATTATCGCTAGTCATTACCACTGTGTGCAATCAAGCGTGAGCTTCAAACCACTCACTCTTTCAAGAATTTTGGTTCGATCCCTAGCTGTGACAAAAAAAGAGAGTGATGTCTGATAGGTTAATTGTATTCCCTCCAATGGCACGGTGGTTTTTCCCCCCATGGGTTTTCCTCCACCAGGAAAAAACAACATTTGTTCCAAAAGTGGGGTCATTATAAAAGCTCTACAGAGCTTATGTTTGTTGTTGACAATGTACACAACGTTATATAAAGATTATTTATATTATTTATTATTAGGGCCCCGTGTCTGAGATACGGGTGCCCTATAGTAATCACAAATTTTGTTCCTGGCTGATAACTTTGGTATTTATTGACCAATGTACATGAAACTTGGTGAAGATGTTCTGTTTACAAAAATACACATTAAGGTAAAAAGTCAAGGTCAAAGGTCAAGGTCATTAGGTTCAAAGGTCAAGGTCAAATTTTGTATCTTTTCACTGATGAACATTTTGTTATGACATGATGAAGCAAAGTTGATAAGAATTAAACAAGGAATCAACCTGACCAAATGTCAAGGTCATTGGGTCAAAGGTCAAGGTTAAATTTTGTAATGACACTTTGTAGCTTTTCACTAATGAGCATTTTGTTTTGACATTATGCATCAAAGTTGGTCAGAATTAAACAAGGAGTCAATTGACCAAAGGTCAAGGTCACTGGGTCAAAGGTCACGTTCAAATTTTGTATCTTAACCCTGATGAACATTTGGTGAATATTTCATTATGACACTTTGAAGCAATGTTTGTGGGAATTAAACAAGGAGTCATTTGACCAAAGGGCAATGTTGATGGGTCAAAGGCCAAGGTCAAATTTTGTATTTTTTCACTGATGAACATTTTGTTATGACATTATGAAGCAAAGTTGGTCTGAATTTAAAAAGTAGTCAACTGACTTAAGGTCAAGGTCACGTGGTCAATATCAAGGTCAATTATTGTATCTTTTTACTTTTTTATGTTATTATGTAGCTAACTTTTTCAGGACTTAACACAGAGTCAACTGACCTTAGGTCCAGGTTACGGGGTCCAAAGGGTCAAGGTCAAGTTTTGTATTTTTCACTGATGAACATTTTGTTATGATATTATGAAGCAAAGTTGGTCGGAACTAAAGAATGGTCAAAGTCGTTTGGGTTCAAAGGTCAAAGACAAAGTGGATCTCTGACTTTGACCCTGGCTCCTGATGGAGGAGCTATATAAGGTGAAATAAAACAAATCAAAGCTAACAAATGAGTATTGCACTGGTATTTACATTTCTGTTAGCCCAAAAAATATGGAGGTGGATGGAAACAAGACTCACATCATAGTACATGCAGATTGCTTCTTGATGATTATGGGGGATATATTGCCACAAGACGGGGCCCTTACTGACCTGTCAGTGTTCTAGTTTATATTTACTATTAACAAATGCAATGATTGTTTTAACAGAAAGCCCAGCTATTGGGCTATCCCACCCATGCAGCCTTCGTACTAGACATGAGGATGGCTAAGTCGGCAGAGAGTGTTGCATCTTTTCTTAAGGATCTGGCTTCCAAGTTGCAAAAGCTTAAGGCTGAGGAAACAAAACTTTTCTTGGAATACAAGAAAGAGGAAGTAAGTAAACTGAGGTAGATATATGGCACTAAACCACCAGCAATTTCAGAGCATCTTTTAGCTAACTTCAGTGTCAGAAAAATGATGGGAAAATATATCCAAACGTTCGTAAAGCTCGAAGTGAATAAATTACGAGTTGAAGTATCTTTATAACCTTGTACTGTGCACGGAGAAATTTTCGCCATCCTTAACAACGGTAAATTTCACTTGTCAGCAAATATTAGTACACAGCATACCATGCATAGTAATTACATGAGAAGGGCAAAACTTGGGTTTGACAAATATGGTACTTACCAGTGAAAGGCACATGTTTGACCAGGCAAAAGTTGTCCAGTATACAGTGTCATTTGTCTTCAAAGTTAAAAGTATTTGGGTTTTTTCAATGACAAGGTTGAAATGTCCTCTTAAAAAAAGGTGTGATCTATCTGTTCATTCTGCTGAAAACGTCTTTTGGTATTAACAGTGCGAGAAGTACGGATACCAGTTTGACAATGTGATTCGTTACTGGGACCTGAAATACTACATGACGATGTCAGAGGAGAAAAAGTATGCTGTGGATCAAAACAAACTCAAGGAATACTTCCCAATGCAAGTCGTCACCAGTGGATTACTGGATATCTACCAGGTAAGTCGTCACCAGTGGATTACTGGACAAATACCAGGTAAGTCATCCCTAGTGGATTACTACTAGATATTTACAAGGTAAGTCATCACTAGTGGATTACTGGATATCTACAAGGTAAGTCGTCACAAGTGGATAACTGGATTTCTACCAGATAAGTAGTTACCAGTGGATTACTGGATATCTACCAGGTAAGTCGTCACCAGTGGATTACTGGACAAATACCAGGTAAGTCATCCCTAGTGGATTACTACTAGATATTTACAAGGTAAGTTATCACTAGTGAATTACTGGACATATACCTGGTAAGTCGTCACAAGTGGATTACTGGACATATACCAGGTAAGTCATCACTAGTGAATTACTGGACATATACCAGGTAAGTCGTCACAAGTGGATTACTGGCCTTGAACCTGGTAAGTCGTCACAAGTGGATTACTGGACATAAATCAGGTAAGTCATCACTAGTGAATTACTGGACATATGCCAGGTAAGTCGTCACAAGTTGATTACTGGACATATACCAGGTAAGTCGTCACAAGTGAATTACTGGGCATATACCAGGTAAGTCGTCACAAGTGGATTACTGGACATATACCAGGTAAGTCGTCACTAGTGGATTATTGGACATATACAAGGTAAGTCGTCACTAGTGGATTATTGGACATATACCAGGTAAGATGTCTCTAGTGGATTACTGGACATATACAAGGTAAGTCATCACTAGTGGATTACTGGACACATACCAGGTAAGTTGTCACAAGTGAATTACTGGACATCTACAAGGTAAGTTGTCACTAGTGGATTACTGGTCATATACAAGGTAAGTTGTCACAAGGGAATTACTGGACATATACCAGGTAAGACGTCTCTAGTGGATTACTGGACATATGCAAGGTAAGTCATCACTAGTGGATTACCGGACATATACCAGGTAAGTTGTCACTAGGGGATTACTGGACATATACCAGGTAAGTAATCACTAGTGGTTTACTGGACATATACAAGGTAAGTCATCACTAGTGGATTACCGGACATATACCAGGTAAGTTGTCACTAGGGGATTACTGGACATATACCAGGTAAGTTGTCACAAGGGAATTACTGGACATATACAAGGTAAGTCGTCACTAGTGGATTATTGGACGTATACAAGGTAAGTCGTCACTAGTGGATTCTTGGACATATACCAGGTAAGATGTCACTAGTGGATTACTGGACATATACCAGGTAAGTTGTCACAAGTGAATTACTGGACATATACAAGGTAAGTTGTCACTAGTGGATTACTGGACATATACCAGGTAAGTTGTCACTAGTGGATTACTGGACATATACAAGGTAAGTTGTCACAAGTGAATTACTGGACATATACGAGGTAAGTTGTCACTAGTGGATTACTGGACATATACCAGGTCAGTCATCAATAGACATTGGTCACGTTTCTCCTGTGGTTTGCATGATAAATCTTTGCATATAAGACAGTAGCCACTTTGAGCAGTAGAATATATCCATCTACCATACCAGGTTTGTATGATAGAATTTTCAGTATAAGATCATAGCCTCATCTGGAGGTATATATAGAATGATAGAATCTTCCTGTACTGTGCTAGTATGACAGAGGAAGTTTCCTCAGCACATTCTGGTCTATGGAATGATGCATTTTCTCCCATCCTACAAATTATACATATTGAGACAGAACCTTGGCAAGTCAGTGTTATGTTGCTTCTCTACATTACAGGAGCTTCTCAGTCTCACATTCAAGAAGATGGATGGTGCTCCAGCCTGGCATGAAGATATCACCATGGTAATTAGTTCTAATATTAAGCATATTTAAGAAAGACTTCATACTTTAAACCTGGAATAATACATGTGAGAGTAATTGATGCTTTTGAAGCGGAGCTGGATTATCAGTGTAAATTTACACACACATATGGACATCTTGCTGATTTGTGTGTATATGATGTTCTATTGTAAAATTGTTTTGTTAAGTGTATTTTGTCCTTAACAGAGTACATACGGTACTGTTATTTAAAATAACAGTTAAAAACAAAACAAAATTAGTAAAGTGTTGGAAAAGTATAATTAGTGATTATTGAAAACAGTTAAAATCTTATCCCGAGTCATTTCAAGTTAAGTTTAACATCCAGGCCAACAAGAGTGATTAATATAAGTTGAAATAACTTGTTTAATAATTGTTGTAAAATAAACAAAGTTATATTATTATTATTTTAAGTTATATCTCCCTTGTTTAGGATACAGCGTAACATGTTAGTATTCCAGAGAATGTCAACATGTCACAGCCATCATAAATCCTATTTACCCCTCTTGTACTGTGTATTTTGTATTGTCTAGTGAACCTTTTATCAACATCTCAGTCAATATAAAATGTTCATGTGTTTACAGTACAGTGTAACCTGTAATGACTCTGCAGCACTGTTGGGATACTTTTATCTTGACCTTTTCCCAAGAGAAGGGAAGTATGGCCACGCAGCATGCTTTGGACTACAGGTAATAATTAATGGTAAACTACTTTGGGATATTTTGTCATCGCAAACAATTTGACATTTTTTACTGAAAATGGGATTATCCATATACTCTTGAACACAACTTACCAACGATGGATATAAAAACATTGAAAATATTAAAATACCTTCACATGAAAACTCAATTTCATTGATGTGATTTATTAAAGACAAAAACAAAATAAAATTCTGTTTAATGTTTCGCTTAACATGTAAAACTATAGCCCGCGGATGTCAGTAATTGGTGCATATTAAATGAGAAGGGAGAGAGTCTGCCAAAAGGTAGATAAAAATCACATTACATCTCCAGCACACACGCAGGCATACACACATAGGGAGGTATTAGCCAGGTGGCATAGGACTAGTAGTTAGCGCCTGATAAGGCACCGCCTGATAAGGCAGCTCCTGCGAATTCCTCAAAAATTGTATTAATTAATGTATATGAAAATTGTATTCAATGTATATCTATGTACTGTAAAGCGCTTAAGAGTGGCTTATGTTAGCTAGATAGGGCACTATATCAAATTCTGTATATTATTATTATTAAAATATCCCAAAGTAATCATACATTGTCATTATCTCCATAGCCTGGTTGTGTTTGATCTATAACATTGTCACTTTCTTCCTAGCCTAGTTGTGTCTGATAAAATACATTGTCACCATCTCCCTAGCCTGGTTGTGTCTTATATAACACATTGTCGCTATCTCCCTAGCCTGGTTGTGTCTGATATAACACATTGTCACTATCTCTCTAGCCTGGTTGTGTCTGATATAGCATATTGTCACTATCTCCCTAGCTTGGTTGTGTCTGATATAACACATTGTCACTATCTCCCTTGCCTGGTTGTGTCTGATATTATGCAATGCTACTATCTCCCTAGCCTGGTTGTGTCTGATATAACACATTGTCACTATCTCCCTAGCCTGGTTGTGTCTGATATTATGCAATGCTACTATCTCCCTAGCCTGGTTGTCTGCAGTCTGATGGTAAGAGACAAGTGACTGTGGCAGCCATGGTAGCAAACTTCACCAAACCAACAGATGATAAACCATCTCTACTGACCCACGATGAGGTGAGAATTCTCTGATACTTGGAGAAAATTGGTTGCATAGATATGTCAAATTTCAAGTGAAGTTCAATAAGATATTTTTCAAAATAGGATACCTCATTAATTATTTGATGCCAAAAACCATTATTGCAATTTTTAATTTTAATTTTTCAGATCACACTGTACTTTGTCTGATGGTTCTATTCTGTAGATGATAAATATGTATTATTGCATTGAGTTCATGTATTTGCTGCACTTCAAAATTGTATCATCTGCCTATAATGAACTGTGTGTAACTGGCTAAACACTGTAGTTTTAAATATGAGTATATTCCTTGCAGGTTGAGACTTATTTCCACGAGTTTGGTCATGTTATGCATCAGATCTGTGCCCAGACAGATTTTGCTATGTTCAGGTAAGAAATACAATAAGAATTCAGACAAATGACACAACACTTGACCTCACGTATGACACATTTTATTGACATGTGATCCACACACACAGACTTATATATGTATATATATAACACAATCTTCAGTATATTGTTGATGAAATAATTTGACTTGCACAGAGAAAAAGTTATTAAAAGTACCCCCTATTGTCCCTCCATGAGACCCAGGGGACCAACAGACAATCCCTGACACAATGTAGAGGCTAGACTTTTTATAGCACAATGAAATATTATCTGTTTGCATTTCAACTGAACTGCGGTAGGTATGGGTGGGCCTATTAACAGGCATTGGCTGGATAAATATGGTAACTTTGTAGAGAACCTGTAGCCTATTGTGTCATAAGACAATGGTATCTTTGTTTATTTATCACAATGATGTGTACCTTTGATATTTGACAGCGGTACCAATGTGGAGCGTGACTTTGTTGAGGCACCGTCACAGATGTTGGAGAACTGGTGTTGGGAGAAGGTGCCGTTGTCCCGGATGTCCTCCCATTACAAGGACGGCAGTGCCATTCCGGAAGAGCTACTTCAGAAACTCCTCCAAAGTCGTATCGCCAATGCAGGCCTTTTCAACCTTCGCCAGATCCTACTGGGCACTTTTGACCAGACCATCCACACGCAAGCAGAGGTCAGTTTAAGTACATTGTTATATGTTTTACAACATCCTTATAATTCTGCGGGTAAAATACCAAAACTTTATATGTTTTCATACATGTTTTTACCTGGTAAGCTGGTCCTGAAATTCTATAATTGTGAAAGTTAAGGTCAAAGCAAAAGTATTTAAGTGTGACATGTGTTTCCTTGCTTGCTGTTGAAGTTTATAAGAATGTGTAGCAAATACAAAGGGTAGTGAGATCCAACACCCGCTAGTGGATGTTCAGTGATCATGAAGTTCTGCCTATCCCAGTTGATGGATTCTGAAATGGAATTCACTCGTCCGGCCATAAGACTAATAGAAATTCAAAAGAAGAGATGACAAGCCAACATCAAATGGGAATTTAATGTTGTCTAGTCATCGCTTCTTTTGAAGAATGGTTTGTGTTTATTTAAGTGTATGGTAAACTTTTTGTAGAGTATAACAAATAGCGAAAAAATCAAGATCACAAGCAGGCTTTTTTAACAAAAACCAATTCTTTTTCCTACGTTAGACCCGCTGTAAGATGTAATCAGTGACAGGATGGGGGATATCAGTACATACACATGTACTTACACCTCTGTCATTGAAACATTGAATATATAAACACTAAAACATCCATCTGTCAGTGATATTTTATCATTGTTGAAGCAGAAAAAATTATCTATGAATCTATGATATGAATTACCCTGTCAGTTGCTGAAGTCTATAAATGAGGGGCTCCACATCACCAGTAAAACTCAATTTGCAACAGTCTAATTCATTCTAATTCATATCAGAAAAAGCACCAAAACATGTGACGATTTTAAGATATTTCGTACATTTTCTTCAAATCTGTGTCATTCTACCAGGAATTGGTGACGTCAGGAACATCCAAAGTAAGGCGGAATAAGATTGACCTTTCAGGGTCATGTTATTGTTCTTGACGTTATCAATAGTCGGTTTCATGACACGTTGGGGTTAGTTAGGGTCATTGACATCATTAACAATAGCCATCCGGGCTTCATATGCAAATGAGAAATTTTCAGATTGGATATTATGGTTATCCCGTCTCAAATTATTTCGACTGAGCCATACATGCCAGAATTCTTGGATACCAATCTGTGAGTTTTACAATCATTTTAAAGGAATTGAGGTGAAAATAAGGGAGTTTTTATTCGCAGCGTTTTTCACAGCAAAAAGACGATCTTACTCAACTAAATTAATGAAATGAAGCACAAAATCTTTAAGTGAGGAACTTTGTTTTGACTTTGGCATTTTTTTTGTGTATATATTGAAAATGATTATACATATTTATTTAATAGCACAAAGTTAACAAAACAAAAGTTAATTCCGCTAACTCAATTATTTACTTACAGACGTTTGTTTAAATATTCGCTCATTCTGTCACAAATGTACTCCACATTTAAATTCGTTTTCACTGTTCAGTACGTACCACAAGCAAACAGCTTGAACTAGATACCCCCTCAACATATTAACAGCTCAACATCACTTGAAGTCTACAGCCCGAAAACTGAGATATCTTACGGTGTTAAGCTGGAAATGAGTATGTCCAGACTCACACAAGGTGACCTTGTTCACGCTCACCCATGTGATCCTACGTAACCATAAAATGCCTTCAAGTGATGTTGAGAAAATTAAGCCACAACACAGTACCCATTCCTAAAGTCTCTTGTTTATGGCTAAAACAGTGTCCTAGATTATGCCATGGAATGACAGAGGATCTCTTGTTGAAGTAAGGGAGAATGATAAGTCCTTCACACAGCTATTAGATGTAGAATATTCTCACTTTAGATGTACTGACTGGTAGGTCACCATCGAAGAATTTGGTCTCGATCATCACGTTTCCACTGAAAATTGAAAATCAGAATGATGCAAAATAATATCTTGATTTTATAAACATTCTCATCAGAACCATGTTGTCTTCCTTTTAAACAGCGCAGGACTGAATAAATAATTTAACATTAGCATCGTTATCTTCAATTACTGGGGTATCTTTGAAACAAATACTTTTTACAAAAGACTGAAAACACAATCTGTAAAACAAATGCTGGTTGTGACAGACTTGCTTTTCTCTTACCCTGGACAGGTGTATCTGCAATTTTTACCAGTGTGGGATCTCCTTTTCTTTTACCCTGGACAGGTGTATCCGCATTTTTACCGGTGTGAGATTTCCTTGTCTCACCCTAGGGTTGAGACGGGGGGATTCCCCTATTCCTAACAATGGCATGACGTCACTTTAACAATACAATGACGTCACGTCAACAATCCATCAACGTCACATCAACCCTGAATTTAGCATGTAACGTTATCATTTCATTGTGTATATGATACACAATGAAAGAACAGGGTAAGAGAAAAAGAATCATTCACCCCCTTGTGGGTCAGATAGTGGAATCTCAACCCTAGGGGAAAGATTCTTTAGTTGCCAAACACTCGGCAAAGCCTCGTGTTTGGCAACTTAAGAATCCTCCCCCTCGGGTTGAGATTCTCCTATCTCACCCCCAAGGGGGTGAAAGATTCTATTAGTCTCACCCTAGGGTTGAAACGGGGGGATTCCCCTATTCATAACAATGGTATGACGTGACTTCAACAATACAATGACGTCACATCAACAATCCATCAACGACACGTCAACCCTGAATTTAGCATTTACGGTGTCATTACATTGTGTATATGATACACAATGGGAGAACAGGTTAAGAGAAAAAGAATCATTCACCACCTTGTGGGTAAGATAGAGGACCAATCATAATTCCCCCCCCCCCCCCCCTTCGGGTTGAGATTAATAGAAACTCTTGCCCCCTTTGGGATGAGATAGGGAAGTGACCAATGAAACGCCTTGTTACATCTAAAATGAATTACAATTTAACATGTTTACAGGCTGACACTGCTGCTGAGTTTGCCAAACTCTCCAAGGATATTCTAGGTATTGAGATGACACCGGGGACCAACATGCCAGCCTCATTTGGACATCTGGCCGGCGGATATGACGCTCAATACTACGGATACCTGGTATGTCATGTTAATGAGAATTTAATCATATTTCACATATCAATTTCTGCAGGTCATTATTCTACATTTATACAACACCAACATGTATGATAGAACTCCTAATTAAAGTGACTGTTAAACATAAATGTTTTGCCCTGCAAAAATCGTTTTGAAAATAACTATAACAAAGATAACGAGGAAAGAATCATGATTGCTTATTATTTATATATTTTATATCCAAATCTATGATCTTCATCAAGTTGAATAATTATTTCGCAATATATTCTCTAAATTTGATAAGTGTATCTTGTTTATCCTATGACCCACATATCCAAAAAAGGTCTGTATCCAATGCATTATTTCACTTCTCCATCCAGGAAGAAATGTAATGCAAGATAATACACGTAATATCATAATGCAATTTAGTGTTGCATCAAAAAGTATTTTGACTATGAAGTTTTTTCACACCGTAATTGTCCAAAAATTATACCACTATCTGGGCGTTGCGATGTGATAAATCAACAGACACAGATGTTACTTCATTGTCAGAAAGACATTGCACAAGGAATAAAAAAACATTTCACATTTAAAAAAATGTGTTTTCAAGATCCCCACAAATCTGATATGTCCCTGGTAATTGTGTATCGTGTATTCTGTTTCAGTGGAGCGAGGTGTTCTGTATGGACATGTTCTACTCACGGTTTAGGAAGGAGGGCATCATGAGCCCCAAGGTTGGCGGTGACTACAAGAAATTCATTCTACGTCCCGGAGGCTCAATTGTAAGACATTAAAAAGCCACATCAGTTCATCCTATATGGATCAGTATGGTGAAATCAGGACCAGAGACAACCCACTCAAGGTGGTCTGACCTGGCTAAATGTAAGAAGGCCATGGTCAGGTTAGGCCGCTGAGAGCAACTGGATGAAGGTCTATATTTTACTATATTGACCCATACTGGAGTATTGAACTGTTACACTGACAAGATTTAAAACTCGCCTTTATAAAGTAACTGGATGAAGGTGTATATTTTACCATATTGACCTATACTGGAGTATTTCTTAGTGCCATTTATTTTTCATTTCATCTATTTCAATAGGACTTCTTGGGTATTCTCCTTTTCAGATATTTAATCTTAGAGCAGGGGCCGGGATATTAGTTAGCCTGGCGCATACAGTTCTTGCTTATTCAGTAATTTGTGCTGCCTACATTTTGTACATGTTTTTCGATAGTTTTTGCTACCTATAGTTTGTGTATGTTTTCCAGGATGCTGCTGACATGCTAAGGAACTTCCTCGGACGTGACCCCACACAAGAGGCCTTCCTCATCAGTAAGGGACTCCAGACCGCCTCGAACCTGTAGTTATGCAGACTCGCCATTGCCATCACTATAAAACCTTTAATCAGGGATTCCTTATCAAAGAATATTTATAGCAGTGTGGTAACAAAACGGTAAAAAGGCTTTTGCTAAAAAAACTTGTACAGTATGGAAAAAGTTGTGATTGTTTAACCGAATCATACATGCAAACAGAACAACACCTTTTAATCAGTGATTTAGTTTCATGGAATATTGATGTCTGTTTCAGTGTATCTGATACATACTGATGTAAGAATTACACTGGGTTGCTGTATGTAATGTTAGCTTAACAGGCTTATAAAGTGTGTCCCTTAATGTAAACCAATAAGTCATTCTGTAATGTGAACCAGACAGGGTTGAAATAATCCAAGACTTTCTATAAGATGTGGACCAGACTGACTTGCAATTGGAAACTATGCTGTGATCTTTATATTGTACTTACATAAATGCATAATTTTCTTTGTATCATATGAATTTTGAAGTTCATAGTGCTGTATTGTGCCATTTTCTTTATGTGGAGATTATAATATCTGAAATCTTTTCTCTGAAGGTATGAATGAATCTTCGAATTGATTGGTTTTACCAGATTTTGTACTATGTAACAGCTTGGATGATTACAGAATTAAACAGCTTACCTTTTCTATGTACTAAGTACTATAATATGGTGATAAAACCATCAGCAGGTAAATGAAGAGTACCTCCGTACTTTCAAATGATTTATTTTCTATCAACATTAAGTGAAGATTCAGGGTAAAGACAGTTGACGTCTATTGTAACCAGTTAGGAGAGGGAGGTTTACATAAAGAATTTCATTAATGTATTCTGTTTTTTCACTTAAAACCATTTAATTCAAACATCCTGAGTGTGTACTTGTACCTACATCAGATTGTTTTACAATGACGTGAAGACTTAAGGCTATATGCCACCTTACTGTGACATGGCGACTTAAGGATTTATGCCACCTTACTGTGACAAGGAGACTTAAGGTTGTATGCTTCCTTACTGTGACATGGAGACTTAAGGATTTATGCCACCTTACTGTGACATGGAGACTTAAGGATGAATGCTTCCTTACTGTGACATGGAGACTTAAGGATTTATGCTACCTTAATGTGATATGTATACTGTCTTTTTATGAAAGCTGATAAAGATTTGATCAAATAAGTGATCTTCTATTTCAAGATGAACAAGTCAGAAGGCATTATATTACACTCCAATAATTAGGAAACAAACTCAAGGGAGATAAATTTAGCAAAAACCACAGTTTAAATAGGTAAGATACCATATACCCTTAATGCACACTGCAATTGAAACTCTTACTGTATGTTAGGATCAACAAATTCCTATTTAAATACTTCAATGGAATCAGTATCATGATAATGGATGATGGTTTTATCAAAACAAACTCGTGCTTTCCAAACATTCTACTTGGTCATCATTGTAAGATTTCAAAATTGAAAAGGTTTATGTCATTTGATGTTTCCTTTATGTTTCTGTTTTGTCATTAGTGTATATTTCCACACAAATTACTGTGATGTCATTTATAGTACTTATTTCTGCATTTATTTAAATAAAAGATATAAGTGGCATGTATCAAGAAACTGAAACTTTTACTATTTATTACATCCCTATCAGACACACATGTTACTCAGTTGACAAACAAAGTTCAAGGCAGATATACAACATTTGCTTGCACCTGCCTATTTTGATTATGACATCATAATTGTTATTTACTGTTTCCCAACGGGTCAGTGCAAAACTTACAAACAACTACATAAAATGTCAACTTTATTATCACAATTGAAAGCAATTTGACTCCTAGAAATAGAATAGAAAAGGCAGAAAATGTTCTCACTAAAACACTACATGTATAGGTCTGTTGTGAAAACTGCTTATAACTGAGTCATTACTTTATAGTGACTCACTTCTTTTGATAAAGTACAAAGAGTTAAAATATAAGATCTGCATCTCTATCAGTGTGAATGCATGTTAGTGCTCTGGAAAATACAATTTTCTTTAATAAACAATTTTTTGATTTTGTTCAAAATTGGATATTCTTTGTTTTTATGAAGATAATTAGGTGCAAGTTCCTGGCCTGGATAAGAATCCTGGTCTTCAATGAACGTCTGTGTTCTAGAAAATGATGGTCCCTTCATCAAAACTTCCTTGACCCTTGGTACAGGGCCTTTTTGTTTCTCCAGAGTTTGTCTACTTTACATCATATAATGCTCAATGTTGAGTATGCAGAGGTCAAAGGTCTTGGGCAAGACTCCACAGGAGCGACGTAGCATGTGACCACTTTGTGTCCATCCCTGCTTTAAAAGTCTGGTCAGTCTGGTCAAACTGTTAGGTCATACTTCAGAAGAACTGCCCCAGGTTATGTATCTGAATGTATTTTCATTGCTTTGAATTTTTGTAGTTCAAATTTAGATTTATTTAAGAAATAATGAGACTGTATGTTCTTTTGATTTGGATCAAACTTAATGCAAGAGTGCAAGTGAATTAGTTTGTGTTTTAAAAAATGTGTGGAAATGTATCTACAGGTATTCTTATGAAAGCAAGTTATTTACTGTTGATGCCCATTCACCCCTAAAGTCATATTTGTACCTTACCAAATCACAGACCAGTTTAAATAGTAATGTAGAGGTGAATGAGTTAAAAGTGGCCAATTGATGACTTGTAAACAGTATGGTTTCACTTGGACACAAGCTTGTCAGTTGAGTTTTATTTTGATACACATAGACGAAAAAATGTACCATAATGACTTTATATTACAATTTCCTGGGATCAATTCATAGATTAGTGTTTAACCAATTTTTTAGCCCACTTTGGTCCTTCATACCGCATCGTCCCTCCGTCAACTTTTCCTTTAAAATGCTACTAGTCCTGAACTGCCAAGTAGATTTTGACTCTGGTCTGGAGCATCCTTAGGCCAAGGGGACTCAATTTTGTATGAACAGTAGGTGTGGCCCTCCTGGGGGAAGAGGGGCGTGGGCCCAAAAGGGGAAATAGAGGTAAAACGTTTTAAATCCTTCTTCTACCGTAGGGATTAAAGGATTTTATCCTAATTTAGTCTGGAGCATCCTTGGGCCGAGGGGACTCAATTTTGTATAAATGGTTGGTCTGGCCCTCCTGGGGGCTGAGGGGCGGGGACCAATAGGGGAAATATAGCAAATTCTTTAAAATCCTTCTTCTTCTGTAGGAATGAAAGGATTTGTTACATATTCGCTCAGAAGCATCCTTGGGGGAAGGGGAACAAATTTTGTATAAACCGTGGGTCTGGCCCCCCAGGGTCCTGAGGGGCAAGGCCAAATAGGGGAAACAGCAAATTCTTTAAAATCCTTCTTATTCTGTAGGAATGAAAGGATTTGGTCCATATTTGGTATGAAGCATTCTTGGGTGAAGGGGAACCAACTTTGTATAAACAGTGGGCGTGGCCCCCCCTGGGACCTGAGGGGTGAGGCCCAAAAGAGGAAATAGAAGTAAAACCTTTATAATCCTTCTTCTACCATAGGGATTAAGGGATTTTATCCTAATTTAGTCTGGAACATCCTTGGGCAAAAGGGTCTCAATTTCGTATAACCAGCCAGTGTGGCCCCCCTGGGGGGCAGAAGGGAGGGGCCCAATAGGGGAAACATAGCAAATTCTTCAAATACCTTCTTCTTCTGTACGAATGACAGGATTTTGTCCAAATTTGGTATAAAGCATCCTTGGGTGAAGGGAAAACAATTTTGTATAAACCGTGTGTCCAACCCCCCTGGAGGCAGAGAGGTGGGGCCGAATAGGGGAAATAGAGGTAAAACCTTTAAAATCCTTCTTCTACCATAGCGATTACGGATTTTATCCTTATTTAGTCTGGATCATCTTTGGACCAAGGGGACTCGATTTTGTATAAGCAGTTGGGTGTGGTCTCCCAGGGTGCAGAAGGGCGGGGCCCAATAAGAGAAATACAGGTAAAACCTTTAAAGTCCTTCTTCGACCATCAGGATTAAGGGATTTTATTCTTATTTAGTCTGGAGCATCCTTGGGCCTAGGAGTCTCAATTTTGAATAATTGGTGGGTATGACCCCCCTAGGGGCATAGGGGTGTGGAGCTCTGTTTGAAGATTGTTCTCGCTATATCTCTGGATGGATCTTTCTGAAATTTCATATGTACTTACAGCACCTACCATGGAGTGCTTTATCTTTACTTCATACCAATTATTTTAAACATAAGCTATTTTGGGAAACTTACATATGGACTTAAGAATACGACTGCTTTGGAATCATATCCCTATGCATGCTTTAATCCCCCCTTTAAATACATCTGGAGAAGTACAAGTAATTTGTAGATTGTCTCCCTTTACATGCATTGTTGGCAGTAGAAGTAATTTGTGGATTACCTCCCTTTACATACATTGTTGGCAGTACAAGTAGTTTGTGGATTACCTCCCTTTACATATACATTGTTGGCAGTACAAGTAATTTGTGGATTACCTCCCTTTACATACATTGTTGGCAGCAGAAGTAATTTGTGGAGTACCTCCCTTTACATACATTGTTGGCAGTACAAGTAGTTTGTAGATTATCTCCCTTTACATACCTTGTTGGCAGTACAAGTAGTTTGTAGATTACCTCCCTTTACATACATTGTTGGCAGTACAAGTAGTTTGTAGATTATCTCCCTTTACAAGCATTTTATGTAAGCCTTGTGAGGATCATGTTCATTCATATGATTGAGAAGCTACTGTTACCAGATAATATTTTAATAAAAAAAAAAATATCAAGGTTTTAAAGTCAAGAGAATGGTAGATTTGATATTATACAGGGATATATTTGGTGTAGAGGCCACTCTTCACTACACAAACATTAAATATACATATTAGCTTGCCTGGTCTAAAGGACCAAGATGAGCCTATGTTGTACCATGGCGTCTATCATCTGCCCGTCAGCAGTTTCTTCAAAGGACATGTTCTTCTGAACCACTGTTTGAATTTTCACCAAATCTGACTGGAAGCACAGTGGTAGGGAAAAACTTGGATATCTTTTACTAAACAATTACATGATGCTACATTGAGTTATTGCCCTTTGTACATAAATAGTCTGTTTTGAATTGAATTCATTTTTCGTACATTTTTCTGCACTTGAAGGAGACATCAGAATTGAAAAACCATCTGCCCACCCAGGCACTCAACGTTTGTGTTTAATATGTAAATTGGTTGCACCGAAGGAGCGCTGTAAACTACATACCATCATATTATAGCTTGTTAGTATATGGAAGTTCAATCCCTGTGGCATGATGGGGGCATAATTGCATTCACCCTCACCCCATACGTACTTAATGTGTAATTTGTTAATTAAAGCTAATTATAAGGAGCAGTGAGGGGATCATGTCACTTGTTCCTTAAAGAACCAAGGGAGTTATAAATGATTTGAGATGGAAGTTAGTAATGAGATTAGAGGGAGGCTAGTGATGAGATCAGAAGGAGGTTAGTGATGAGATCAAAGGGAGGTTAGTGATGAGATTAGAGGGAGGTTAGTGATGAGATCAGAGGGAGGGTAGTAATGGGATCAGAGGGAGGTTAGTGATGATATCAAATGGAGGTTAGTGATGAGATTGTAGGGAGGATAGTGATGAGAACAGAGGGAGGTAAGTGATGAGATTAGAGGGAGGTTAGTGATGAGATCAGAGGTCGGTAAGTAATGAGATCAGAGGGGGGTTAGTGATGAGATTAGAGGGAGGTTAATAATGAGATCAGAGGGGGTAAGTAATGCGATTAGAGGGAGGTTAGTAATGAGATCAGATGGGGGTTAGTGATGAGATCAGAGGGATGTTAGTGATGAGATCAGAGGTCGGTAAGTAATGAGATCAGAGGGGGGTTAGTGATGAGATCAGAGGGAGGGTAGTGATGAGATTAGAGGGAGATTAGTGATGAGATCAGAGGGAGGTTAGTGATGAAATCAGAGGGGGTTAGTGATGAGATCAGAGGGAGGTTAGTGATGTGATCAGAATGGTTAGTGATGAGATCAGAGGGGTTAGTGATGAGATCAGAGGGGGTTAGTGATGAGATCAGAGGGGGGTTAGTGATGAGATCAGACGGAGGTTAGGGGTGAGATGAGAGAAAGGTTAGTGTATGAGAAGAGAAGAAGGTTAGTTATGAGAGGAAACCTAAACTAAGGTGTTTATATTTACTTTACACGTTTAAGGGGTTTAGATCTACTTTCTGTCAAACTACCACCCACATACATCAAAATTAAACATGTTATATCATGTCTCACCAATTGTTTTAACACCAAACCTTAAGGATCTTTAAATCACTTTATTATTCAAATTAAAATGTATATATGTATGTGAATAATGAATGCCAATACGTTACATGTATAATCTTTAACGTTAATCTCTTAAGCGCTGGATATTAAAGTAAATGTTTTGATTTTATATGTCTGCGGTTTAATTGATAAGATATTTTAATCCCAGTTGCGTGAGTACTCCAATTAGTGGTGGGTGGTGCCTTCCGCGTGTCTACCTTGCAACCACATTGCAAAAGTCGCTCACCGCGATATCAATCATAAAGCGCGGGATGAATAATCTAACCTAAGGGAAGTAACTCATATTCAAGTATAAATTAAAGCCAGGAATTTCAATATTGGAAAAACTGAAGGAATCAGGGAAAACACTAGCGAAGCTTAGAAAAATAAATTCAAAAACTGTTATTCCATAGTATTTTTACCATAACAAACATCAATTCGCATATAGCCTAGACGGTATTCAACGTATTTCAAATTATCGTCGTATCATTGGGTTAACGGTATTGCAGGAAGGAGGCGTGTCACTCCTACAAAACTCTTTTGCCCACATGATTGTCCCCTGTGTGAATTCCACATGGTTGGTGTTTACCCGAACTCACCTCAACACATGCCGTGGATAATTGAAGCTCTGAAAACTTAATTTTAAAATCAAATTATATGATTTGTGAACTGAATGTGTGTGTAAGCATTTTGTTATATATACAGGCGTGCTGTGAAGTCGTGATATACACCGTTTTGTGTGTAGTCCTCAGCTTTA